GATGACCTGAAGACTTGACAGCCACCCTGCCGCCTTGTGGGGGTGCCCCCTGGGCAGTGCAGATGTCCCAGAGGAAAGCTGGTCTCAGACAGACAGACAGACAGTAGTGGTGACATCATTTAAGCTGCTGGGTCCAGCTGAACCTTGATCTCCTTGATCAGAAAACCAGTATATTTACCTTTAAGCCAGTTTGTATGGAGTATTTTTGCTGGCTGGCCATGCCCGTGCCACCTGCAGGACAAGAAGGGTTTCACAGAAAGTGTGTCTGAACTCAGAACCAAGTCTACACACAAAACTCTGTCCTCACTCTGGTGGGACATCCCAGTGAGGGTCATGGCCATGCCTCAGGGCAGAAAGGCTGAAACCAGGTTTAGAATGTGAGCAAGAGGAGACATCTCATGCTCCAGGCCCCGCACAGATGGCCAAGACCAAGTCTGCCTCTCTGCCATGGCCCACCAGCCCACGCCCTGACACTCTGCGGGCAGGCGGGGCTGCGCACCCGGCCAGGGGGCGTCTCGGCCGCTCGGCCACTGGGCGTTGGAGACCCCTCGGCCCCTGCATCCCAGGCCTCCCGTGTCAGGTGACAGCTAGGCGACCGAGCTCAGAGACATGAGGACTGGGGTCTGGGGGCCCATGTAGAGGCAGAAGACCTGCTTTGCAAGCGGGTAGACCTGGAGAATGAAGGAAGCCCCTGGTGGGGACGGGCCAGTTGCTGCCCGCCCTCTAGGCCTGAGGAGCCTGCCCTGTGACAGGGGCTCAGGGCCCGCCAGCCGGGCTCTGCTTCCCTACAGCCCCTCGACAGCCCCGTTTCCTCCTCTGTGAAGTGAGGGCCTTCGCCTTTTGGGGTACCACCACCACTGGCCTTCCAGGGCTCTAAAAATTAAGGTCACCAACCAGTAGGAGGCCTGTGGCTGGAGCCCACCATTTCCCGAGGTGACCGTCAGGAGACCAGAGAGAGAGGGTGAGCTGGTCTCCATGGAGACAGAACCAGTATCCCAGCAGCCCACTGGTTCATCCCTCTTCTGACCTGAAGCAGGAGCAAGGCCAGGTGCTGGCATCTGCCACCATCTGAAAAGCCTGAGGTCGCCTAGGCCACTCCCTCTGTTTTACAGATAGGGAAACTGAGGCTGGGGCAGGGGAGCTTCAGGCTCGTCAGGGGCAGAGCTGGCCGCCTGCCACACCGAGTCTCCGCTGTCACTCCTGGAAACCTAGCCCTCGCTGAAGCCTGAAGTGGCCTTTCTGCACCAGGCTGCTGGGATACCTGCGGTCACCAATGGCAACGTCACCCTCTCCACAGCCGTGCGAGTCACAGCGCAGCGGCCTCAAGCTCCAGTGCGCGCTGGGTTCAGAGACCAGGCAAGCCGAGGAGGCGGCCGCTTGGAGGCGGGGCGGTCTTTGAATTTTGTCCTGGATTAAATATAGCTCCTGGGCGTGTTTGATCTTGGCCATCAAGCAACCGTGGTGCAAAAATCATTGGTCTCTTTCCCAGCGCGGGTTCAGGGCGGCCTTGGGGGCCGGACGTGGGCGCAGGGCCCGTGTGGCTCCTGCCGCAGGGCGGCCTCGTCCCTCGGCCCCCTTTGCCAGCTTTGGACCAGACGTTGTCCAGGGCTCTCCTATCTCCTGTGTTCTGGAAGTCGTGGGAAATAGCCGGTTTCCGTAAGCCAGTGCCCAGGGGCCCCACCAAGACTGGGGGTCCCTTTCTAGACTTCCGGGTCTTCCTTCAATTCCCTTCCTAGGGCCTCAGTATTCTCTCCTTTGAGGGGTGATGTTTTAAAACGAGATGACTGCGTCTTCACCTTTAACACAGAAAGACACAGAAAGGAATTAAAGGCTTGTCACCCGTAGCCAGGATACCCTTTTACATTTTCTCAGAGTCGTACATTCAGCTGGGAAGAAGATGCAGAGGACACAAAGGTAAACAGGACGCTCTGAAAGCCCCGGCCCCACCCAGCCCCCTCCCAGCGGATCCGGGGTCACCCTGGCCGGTAGCAGGATGGTCGGGGGCGCACACCCCGCACCTCCCTCGCCATCCCCAGGGCCTCGGTTCCTTCATCTGCAAAGTGGGTAGACTGGCAATGCCCACCTCCGAGGGCCCTCAGAGGACTCGGCGAGGCGTGCGGGGGCACCTGGGAGCCGTGGGCTCAGTAACCGGGGCCCGCCCGCCCACTGCGGGTGGTCTTCCAAGCATATCTTTCCATCTGGTTCTTTTTTTAACTCAGAAATGGATTATACCGTGTTTGGCACCTTGCTTTTTTCATCTTGTTTATTTTAGAGGTCTGTCTGTCCCAACACCCGCAGACAGACACACCTCCCTCTCTCTTAGGAGTCTTTAGAGGCACATGTCTCATCCTTTACTGTTACTAACACCAGGGCACCAGGACACCAGGAAGTTAGACACCTAGAAATGTTGATTCTGGCCCAAATTGCCTGTGCACTTTCAACTTGACTGGATTTACACGCCCATCAGCCAGGAGGAGCTTCGGGTCTCCACACACCCCTGCCAGCCCCGGGCGTCATCACTGTCAGGGTAGTTTGCAGTCTGATTCCAGCTGCCCAGACAGGGACAGCCCTGTGAGGCAGCTCAGGGACCGAGAAGAGAAAGGGGGAGAGGGCTTCAGGGCTCAGGGACCCTGGCAGGATGGGCCAGGGCCGCAGTGCCTATCTGACTTGCCCTGCATTCGTTCCCCAGGACATTTTACAGAATGAGATGCCTGCGTTTGGCTGGGATGTTGTCAGCCAGCTTTCTCTCGGCCTTTCCTGAGGGCCTCTCTGCAGCCCTGGGGCTGGCCGAGATGCCTGCCCTGCGGCCTTTGGGGGTGGCCCAGGAGACGGCCCTTCATGTAATCTCCCGGAGGCTCAGCTCCGACCTCAGAGAGCCGGCAACTGGTGGAAACAGCCAGATGCCATTGTGAGCCAAGCCC